TTCATAGGCCCTCTTTCCTTCCTGACAGGAAGGGGTGCCCCATGCCGTTCTGAGGACAGTGGCTGCCCCATGTGCAGGCTTCCACCTATCAGCAGACGTCCCTTAGCTTCTTGGTGTGGGTCTGGTAGATGGCTCATGCTCAGCACGTCCAGATTACCTGTACTCCCAACCTTCTTCCCTCAGATCTGCTCCTTTCCCATCTCAGAAAAACAGTTTCTTCTTTCTGCTCAGGCAAAACCCAGTAAAACAGCAACCCTCTCTTGCCTCATGTCCAGCTGTTAGCATGTTGTGATGTCTGTATCGTCTAAAGTACAACCCAGCATTTGGTCATGTCTCCCCACTACATCCCCTTCCTATCCTGAGCCACAAGATACAGATCCCCTTAGTCTGTCCCCACATCAGCAGATGATCCTTTAGAACAGATGGTATACCACAGACCTTCCTGTGCTCCCCCTGAGGTCAGTCCACACTCAGGACCTTTCTTCCCCCACCATCTCACGTTCACTTTCTTTGGGCTCTGGGAAAAGCACCCCAAGTCCACTTTTCAGAACAATGGCTCCGTCACTTCTCCCAAGCACATACTGCTAAGCCTCACTTTCTTCATGTCTGAAACAGGAATATTACTCATGGTAATCCTCCTCCTGGTATGTTAGTAGCAGAGTAATATAAATAGTCCAGATAGTAGTAATGATAATGCCTCAGGGTTATGGTTCTGTGACTCGTGTCCGTTTACTCTTTTTTAACTGGCCTGGGCCTGTGTGCCTGATTTGTGCTGTTTGCTTTCTGTTGGTCTCCCAAGTCCTGTTTAAAAATTCTGGTTTGTGGGCCGGCCGAGTGGCGTGTTGGTTGGGAGCTGGCTTGGGACGCCGGAGGGCCCTAGTTCGGATCCCACATGTGAGGGCCAGTGATGCTGCCCTCTACAGCTAAGATACTGGGGGGGAAAAAATTCTGGTTTCTGCTGCAGCATAATTCACCATTTGGAGTTTTCCACTTGAGGTTCTCAGACCAGTTGGATGGTGGCATTTTACTAAAATAATGCATCTTTTGGTAGAGGCCGTTGAAATTTGCATCTGACCCTAAGCCCTGTGTCAGTATTTTACCTTAGACTCGATGGCCCCATCATCCTGGGGTCGGTCTGTGCTGTGCCTGTGTAGCTTCTAGTGTGGCTGGGACATACCTGGGCTGCGTCCTACCACTGCCCTTCTGCCCAGCCAGGTGGGAGGATGCATCAGAACAGGGTTGTTAGGAGAGTAAGAAGGAGGGGCTGAGGCTGCCTGGGTTCCAGCCCTGCTCCCTGTATAGCAGCCTGTCCCTCAGGCATCCTTGTACCCTGGTGGCCCCCTTTTTTACAATGGGCATGCTGCTGATTGGATCTGCGCTGCAGGCAGCAGCCAGCACAGGATCCCTCCGAGAGCAGGAGGCTCTCAGTGGGCCTGCATTTGCTGAACGAGTGGGCCTGTGGTGGAACTTCTGCAGTCACAGCTTCCCCTTCATTCTCCCCTCACTTGACAGGAATTGTGAAGCTGATCCTAATTTACCAACTGGGACAATCCAGCCTTTTCACCTGCTCCTTAGAAAGTATTCTAATACACTTCCTCACTGCTTTTTTAAAAAAGATTTTATTGGGGAATTGGGGGAGGGGAACAGCATTGGGGAATCGGGAAGGGGAACAGACAAGTTGCTGTCCTTTTGTTCTTCAGTCTAGTTGTGGAGGATGTCGCTTCACTAGCCCATGTTGGTATTATCATTGCGCTCTTTCCGGGTGAGGCAGTTGCTTGCCGGCCATTGGACGGCCGCTCACGAAAGCTCACGCCCGTTGCTGGCCAACCCCACTGCAGCCTACACCGTCGCCAGCAACTCACAGCAGCCCAGCTCCAGGTTGAGCTGTTGTTCACCATCTTAGCTGTAGAGGGCGCAGTGTCACTAGCCCTTATGTGAGATCCGAACCGGGGCCCTGCTGCTCAGAGCTGGTGTCCCAAGCCAACTCCTAACCAATGCGCCACTCGGCTGGCCCACTTCCTCACTGCTTTTTGCAGAAATCCTCAGTCAGTTACACTTCATTCCTCGAGGCTGGTTTCTTCCTGAAACTTTGTCACCATCTCTGGGTCTGTGCCTGTAGGGCTGTGGCCTCCAGCCTTGATGTGCTGAGGGCACTGGTCCTTCCCACTGAGGAGAGGAGGAGTGCTTCCTACCAGCACCTGCCCTCCCTAGGAGTAATGCCCTGAGGAGCCAGGGATTGGCCACAGCAGGCCCCAGTGGGTGCTAAGGCAACCACATGTCTGTGGAGGAGGCGCCATCATCCATGGCAGGCCCCGTCCCCTCCAGCTGTGCTTGTCCTTCGTGTGGTGGGGGAGGGGTGCAGAAGGTCCCCCTAGAGTGGCTTGCCAGAGGCACAGGCTAGGCCATCCGTTCTGGGCCTAGGGTTGGCATAGTTCCAGCCCTTGGGCTTCAGAGTGAGTTGCCCTGACACTGCACAAGCAGCACAAGCCAGCGGATTCCCTGGCCCTTTGCTGGGACTGGCGGGAGTGGCACTGTGGCTGACTGCTTGTCATACACCAGTGACAATGAAGTGAGGCCACTTGGCACCACATTGCCAGTCTGGTTACCTGGCGGACAACAGTCTTGTTACCGACTCCCCTTCTTATCTGTGGGCAGTTGGAAGGACTTCATGCAGGGTCTGGGGGTTCAGATGAGGATCATGGATAAGATTTTGGGACTTAACCTGTGGGGAGCCCCACTGGGCTAGAGCAAAGGCTGAGTGGAGTAGCATGGGGCACTCTGAGTGCAGGATTGGGGGACACAGCATCATGTGTGGGGGTGCGTTCTCCCTATCTACCTGGGATCCCCTTTACCCCCAGTGGACACCAAGCCAGACTGGGAGCTTCTCCCTCAGGGTCAGAGTTTTCCTGGACCCCAGTGCGGGGTCCCCCTTGCCTGAGATCCTGGTCTCCCCTCATCTTCCACCCACACTGACTCCTCCCTGGTCCTAGGGGTATATGTACCTGCCATCCAAAGCGGCCCCCAGAATCACTCCTCATCAAAATCTCTAAATGTTTGAGGAGCTCCTATTTCAGGCTATGCCCAAAGGAAAGATGACCCACCCCTTCCATAATGACAGCCACTCAGGACAGTGATTTGTCTGCAGTCCCATGGGGAGACAGGATGGACAGACTCAGTGAGCAGGCTGATGGGGTTTGTAATCAAGGCATGCTGAAGACAAAAACTATAGAACTTTAGTCTGAGAGGCACTTGGGAGCATCCCTCACTTCCCTATGGGGCAGTGGAGACGACAGGGATGAGGGGATGGGGAGATCTAGGTGAGAGCGAAGGAATGGGGGTTGTATTGGGGCAGCTGGGGCTGAGCAGTTGCTACAGGTTAGACGGTAGGCCTAGGCTGGGATGCCAGGGAGAGGTTGGGGACAGATGGAGGTCAAGTCATAGCCCGTGGCCCTGCCTTCAATCAGTATGGGTAGGGAGCACCCCAGTGGTGACATGACCATGGGGAGACCTCAGTTTGATCCTTTTGGGCTGCCTGTAGGAGCAGATAGATGTCAGTGCCACGCTGGCTTAACACGTGTGCAGAGGGACTGCTCTGCCTTCTATACCAGGAGTGAGAAGCAGCTGTGCTGTCCTTCCTTCAGTCTAAGTCCATGGCAGGGCCTATTGGGGCAGGGCCTCATTTAAAGAGGTTGCGAGTGAGTCAGCTCAGGAACGTGTCCCCTATATGATGACATGGCCCCTTTGTTGGCTTGTGCAGCCCCCAGCCTCCCAGTCTCAGGGCTCCAGGACTGGGTTTGCCCAGCCCTGCCCAGGACATACCTCCCCAGGGTGTTTGCTGATGAGGAAGCAGGCACTGGGTATCCTGCCTGCGTGGACACAAACAGCTCAGAGGCCTTGAGTGTAAGCATACCACAGGTGTGAAGTGAGACTTTTGAAGGGTTCAAGAGGTATGTTCCTCCCTGGGCCCTGTGCTGGTGGTCATGGCTGCTGACTGTCCTGAGGAGAACTGGCACTTCGGGAATTCTGCTAGAGTCTGGCAGCTAAATTCCTTTTTGTTCCCTGGTAAACCCTTACAGTCTCATTTCTAGTGTCCTGCCCTATTGGGACATCGAGGCCAAGCTCAGAGCGGCCCCTTTAAGAGCACATGCCCGTGTCCCAGACTCTTGTGGAATGCCTGCTGCCTCCCTGCAGACAGACTTCACTGCCTGTCCTCCCTCTTGTCTTCTGTCTCCGTGAGGGTTAACAGCACTTCAGCTTGTTGTCTGGAACCGGTTCAGACTGGTTTTCTGGAAAGTGCTTTGTCTCTCAGATTGAATCCTGGGAAGGGTCATGTGGAGCCCAGTGATGTCATGGGATCAAAAACTGATTCAGCTGTTTTTTCTTCTTTTCTTTCTTTTTAAATCAAGATATGTATGTGCTGCAGGTACTGGGCCAGGCTTCACCTCACTAAAAGTTTACCTCACCAGCAGTCAGAGGGTTAAATATGACCCCTACTCCTTACCCACCCTGAGGTGAGCCTGGAGTGAGGAGGCTGCCCTCACTGAAAGGGAGAGGGGTCAATCCGAGTCAGTGCAATGCAGGGCTGGGCCCGGGAAGTGACCCTACTCCTGGGACAGTGATCCCCCTTCCAGATCCCAGACGTCTCCAGCCCAGTGCAGGTGTTCAGAATCTTACAGGCAGGGAGTTCAGAGTTTTCCTCTAATTGCTTTGAGTCTGGAGCACTGAGAATTCCCCTTCTTTCTGATAAATAGCCACCTTCCATTGTTCCTTTCCAGGTCCCTGCGGTCTCAGCTCTCCAGATACCCTCTGCTCCTGTCCCAGCTTTCCTCAGAGCTATGAAGAAATGCCCCAGGCATATTTTATAGGCCCTGTGTTGTACTTACTTCTGCCACTGTCACGTGGCGAGGAAAATACTCCAAGTTGACACTCTGAAAAGTTTCTAAGAAGGTAGCAACTCCATTGTGCCAAGTTTAAGTGTCATTTTTTCTCCTTTTTCAAAGTTCAGAATGACCGAAGAAGCATGCCGGACACGGAGTCAGAAACGAGCACTTGAACAGGACCCAGCAGAGGATGATGTGGAGAGCAAGAAAATAAAAATGGAGAGAGGATTGTTGGCTTCAGATTTAAACACTGATGGAGACATGAGAGTGACGCCCGAGCCAGGAGGAAGCCCAGCCCAAACATTGCTGAAGGGGACAGAGGTGACAGCCATGGGCAGAGGTGAAGGGCCAGCAGGTGACGGGCCTGTGGACATGCGCACCTCACACAGGTTAGTGGGAACAGCTGGGAACTGGGACAGGACCAGGTATGAGGAGGTGGGCTTGAGGCTGCCCCTCCCTCCTCGCCCGGCTTGCAGGAGGCAGCTTTTGGTGGGTTATCGTGTGGGCTCCAGCCCTGGCATCGTTGTGTCCTCCTGGCTGAGGGACTTCTGGGGCCTGGACATCAGTGAGTGGCATGCAGTGTGGATCTCATAGGAGGGGAAGCAGTATCCTCTATTAGCTCCCCTGTCAGCAGCAGGTCTTTGCTAAACTCGTACCTGTTGTCTATCCAACTTCGTGCTTTTGGTTTGTAAGAAAACTTGAGTTTTCCATTTGGTCATGCCTTCCTGCCTTGCAGATCTGGGGCTAAGGAATGCAGGGGGATGCTGTGCCCTTCCTGGGTCACTTGGCTGGGGTCAGAGTTAGGAGCCTAGCCCAGGGTACCTCTCACATGTGCCACCCATGCCTCCTCATAGGCAGCACATCTCAGAGGAGGGGCCACTCTGCTCTGGTCTTCTGTGGTGTCCTCTGTTGGTTTCTCCTTAGTCAGTACTGATTATTTCAAGGGTAACTTGCCTGATCCTCAGCTTTTGTGAGCTCTTAAGGAAAAAGCATGCAAGAAATAAGACTCATCGTACCACCCTATGTTTTCACTCAGAAACCTTCTTTTCACGCTATAAAGAGAAATTTAGGCCTAGCTTCTGCTTCTGTTGTCACCCCTCCCCTCAGGCCTCTGGTGGGAGCCATTCTCTCCAGAATGTTTACACCCAGATGTCCCATGATCCAGACTTCCCACTGTGGGCATGCTGGTGTGGCCATAGCCTCCCAGCCATCCCCACAGGGTCTGTCTCTCGTCTCCCTTGCGTCTGCCCAGGTGGGGGTGGACAGCACTCCTGTCCAGAGGGGCCCCAGGCTGCAATCTTTGTGTTAAATCCATTTTGGAACCCAGACTGCTGGTATCCTAAGGACTTCAGAGACTACCTAGCCTGGCGTTTCTCAGCATTAAAAATTCTTAACCTCCTCGAGATAAATCGGGAAATCCAATCCCCTCCTACTGGGAAAGGATCTTAATTTGGGGGCAGGGGGTGTGCTTTGCGTTTTAGCTCCCCAGAAAGACCTTTTCTGTCTGGTTTTGCTTTCTGCAGCCCCTGTTCTAAAGCCAGAAGCCTTAAGTTCCAGAAATAAAGTTTATTCTCTCTAACTTGGTCCTCAGCAACATCTCAGATGGGTGAAGAGAAGGAGGAGCTTGTGTTTGTGGAGAAATGCTGGGTCCCTTTCCTTCCTGGGCTGCTGGTGTACGTTTTTCCTGTAATCACCATGCTCCCCTGCAGGACAGGCCAGTGAATTGTGAGGGAGAGTTTAAGTGTTGAAAGAGCTGGAACCCAAAACAGATCTTCCTGTTACCAAAGGCTGGGCTGCATTTGGCCTCTGGGCCTTGTGGTTCCAGGTTTCCCCTACTGTGCCCATTGACTTCCAACCCAAGGGCATGGCACTTAGATGATGTGATGTTTTCTGAAGTTGATGGGGCCTTATGACACACAAAGGATGCAAGGGAGCAGGGGACAGAGATTAACCCAGGCACACAGCAAGGGTCCTCCTGCAGGTCTGGAGACAACCCAGGGAATCGCGAAGCAGTGTGAGAATGTGGAAAGAGCCTGGCTTTGGAGACCAGCAGGCAGAGTGGAGGTCAAAAATCACACTCCCTGACTTATCTTGGGCAGGTGATCTTCATTTGTGCTTCTTCATTTGTAAATGGGCGATAACCTCTGCCTTGCAGGTTGATGGGTGACAGATATATACCCAAAAATCGGCCCTGGTGCACAGCATATGGTGAGGGAAAGAAGTGTTAGCAACAATACTTACAGTCTTAAGCTTCACTCAAATAAAATGTCATGTGTACAGCTAGTGTCTCCCTGAGTTCTCACACAGATTGTTCTGTCTAGTTCATTGAAGAAGTACAGTCTTGAGTTTTGACAGAATTGTAAGATCTGTTCCATCCCAAAGCCATTCTAAAACTAATTTGTTCTGGAGAGAGTGACCACAATTTTGTGTTAAAAGGATCCAGTCTTTGGATCCTCATTGAGAGTGTTGGGCTCTGTACATCCCTTGGAAAGCTACACACACACACACACACACACACACACACACACACACACACGACCCTTGAACAATGGGGGTTGGGCGCCGGTCCCCTGCACAGCTGAAAATCCTCGTGTAACTTTTGACTCCCTAAAAATGTAGTTGTCCCTCTGTATCCATGGGGCATTGGTTGTAGGACCCCCCCACCTTCCCCAAATAATAAAACTGTGAGAATAGTCAAGTCTGCTATATTAAAATGACATAGATCAATGCATACAGTCAGCACTCTGTAACTGTGGATTAAAAACCGTACAGATATTTATTTTTTAGAATCAGTGTATAAGTGGACCCACACAGTTCAAATCTGTGTTGTTGAAGAGTCATCTGTGGTGTGGTTGCTCCATCTCTTTCCCAGGTTGGTGTGAATTAGGACAGATGAAAAAACACAGCTGTATCTAGTCACAGTTTAGGTTGGTGGAAGCTCTTTGACTTGAGGTGCACTGAGTCTTGTAAGACTATCATGCCAATTTTAGATTATTATGCTAAGAGAATTTCCTTCTTCTTTAATTGAGATATAGCATACATAATAAAAAGTACACGTATGCCACTTGATACTTTTCACAAACTGAACACATCCTATAGCTCGGTCAAGAAACAGAATGTTACTAGCACTCTGGAGGCCCCCCTTGTGCCCATTTGTTGTCACTTCCTCCCAAGGGTAACCAGTTTCTTGATTTGAACAGTACATATTAGTTTTTCCTATTTTTGCACATTAAATATATGGAATTATATAGTCTGCACCCTTTGCTTGCTTTTATTCAACATAATGTTTGTGGGTTTTGCTCATGTTGAATGTAGCAATGGTAATTCATTTTCACTGCTATATAGTGTTCTTTTCCTAGAATTTCTGATTGGCTCTTTTTTAATTAATTAGTTTATTTATTTATAAGAAATTTTATTGGGGAACAGTGTGTTTTTTCAGGACCCATCAGCTCCAAGTCAAGTAGTTGTCTTCAGTCTAGTTGTGGAGGGCGCAGCTCCTTGGCCCATGTGGGAATCGAACAAGCAACCTTGGTGTTATGAGTCTGCACTCTAACCACCTGAGCTAACCAGCCGCCCCCCAATTGGCTCTTTTAAAAAACTGCTTCTTTTTCTTTCATGGCTGTCTTACTCTTATAACCCAATTTGGGTGTCTTGATGACTAGAGGGAGTTTCTGCTGGCTTCTAGCAGAGAGAATTTCCTTTTTCTTTAAGGAAGTGGCTGATGAATTGAAATCACCAAGATACAACTTTTTTTTTTTTTTAATTACGTTGGGGCAGTTTGGAATGTACAGAAGCAGATAAAGGGGTAGGATCAGTTTTCTTTCCTCCATAATCTCCCTCTCCATCTCTCTGACAATTTTTCTGACTTAATCTCCCAATATGTGTGTGTTTTATTTTCAAAATAAGTCAAGGCTGGAAGGCAGCTTCTAGCAATGATTGAAGGACGAGAAATTGTCAGATCCTTTCCCCAGAGAAGCAGCTATGAAGCAAGACAGAATTGACCCAAAAAAATCAACTGTTTTAGCACTCTGGAAATACATCAGAGGCATACAACAATCTGAGAAGTGTTTGTGCTTAAGTAACTGCTGAACTTTGGGGAGAACAGTAAGAATCTGTGACTTTTGGCCTGGGATTCCTCCCCATGCCCTTTCCTAGCTCTGTTGGTAGCAAGGTTTTGCTTGGCTGGTGTAGGCCATGAGGACCAACAGCTTCTCTGCAAAGGTGAGAAGGGGCTCACTCAATTTAGAGTGCTGGGCAGCAACCCTGCCCATGGCCTTACTGATTGAAGTGACAATCTTGGAGATAGGCAAGTGAGGAGGGACAGTGGCTCTATTAGCCCAAGGTTGCAGTCATGGTTGGGACAACATACAAAAAAACTATTTGAAGAAATAATGGCCAAAAATGTATTTGAGGAGAAGCTCATCCAAGAATCTCAACAAACCTTGTAGCATAAATACAGATAGCTCTATACCTATACATAGTCCGACTGTTGCAAGCCAAAGAAAAAGAGAAAATCTTGAAAGACGCAAGAGAAAAATGACTCCTCACATACAAGGGAGCATTAATACAGTAACAGCAGACTTGTCACCTGAGACAATGGAAACCAAAAGGGAGTTGAATGACATTCAAAGTATAGACTTAAGGAAGAAAACTGTCAACCCAGAATTCTACATGCAGCAAAACTGTCCATCAGAAATGAAGACAAAAAAGACATTTTCAAATAAAGACTGAGAGAATCCATTGCTGGCAGACCTACCAGTTCTTCAGGCCAAAAGGAAAGAACATTTTGGTAACTTAGGTTCACAGGGAGAATTAAAAAGCACTGGAAATAATAAATGTGTGGACTAATATAAAAGATTTCACCCCCCCCCCTCATTTCTTCTTAAAAGACATAACATTATATAAAGCATTGACTGTAACACTGGACACAATTGACAAAACAGCCATTTCAGCTCTCTGGAAATTGATCAGAGATACAACCTATTATGTTTATAACATATGTAGATATAACATACAGGACATTAATTGTATGAAACAGGAGGAATGAAATGGAGCTATATTGGAGTCAAGTTTCTACATTTTATCAGGATCAAGTTAGTATTAATCTGAAGTAGGTTGTGATAAGTTAATAAGATGTTTATTGTAATCTCTAGAGCAATTATTAAGAAAAATAACTTTAAAATATAGCTAAAAAATCAGGGCTGACCAAGTGGCTCAGTTGGTTAAGAGCACGAGCTCTGAGCAACAGGGTCGCCGGTTCGATTCCCGCATAGGCCAGTAAGGTGGCTGGAACCGAGCTGCTGCTGAGCTGCCAACAAGTGGCAGGATGGCTCAGCTGGTGAGATCACATGCTTCTAACAACAAAGTTGCCGGTTGGATTCCCCGCATG